GTTCCAAGACACTGTCGCTCCAGGGGGCAGCCCAAATACCCTCAGAAGACTGCCCTCAGAAGACTGCCCCCAGGAGAAACAAGCTTGACCACTATGCCAGCATCAAGGTCCCCCCGCCCATAGAGTAAGCCATGAAAAAGACTGAAGACAACAACACACTAATGTTCACTGTGGATGTCAAAGCCAATAAGCACCAAATCAAACAAGCAGTAAAGAAGCTCTATGACATCGATGTTGCCAAGGTCAATACCCTAATCGGGCCTGATGGAGAGAAGAAAGCATATGTTCCGCTGGCTCCCAATTATGATGCTTTGGATGTTGCCAACAAAATTGGGATCATCTAAACTGAGTCTAGGCTGGGGAGATGGCTCAGTAGAATAAGTGCTTGTCTGACAAGCGAAAGGGCCTAAGTTCAATCCCCAGTTCCACAAAACAAACAAGCAAACAAACAAACAAGCAAAAAAACAAACAGCAGTATCAACCAACTGCAATGTAAACTGAGTCTAGCTGGTTAATTCTAAATATATACTTTTTTCCTCACTTTAAAAAAAATACAAATCCAGGGGCCAGGGAGATGGCTCAGTGGAATAAGCGCTTCTCTGGCAAGCGCAAGGGCCTGAGTTCAATCCCCGGTTCCGCAAAAAAAACAAAAAACAAAAAAACAAATCCATGCATAAATAAAATGAATTTTCTTTTCAATACTGTGATGCTGAGTGGATTGAGGTTAGGGCTCTAACACTGAGATACATCCTCAGCCCCTTTTGTTATTTTTTTATTTTAAGAAAGGTGTCTTAGTTACTTTTCTGATTGCTGAGACAAAATTCTCGACACCCAAAGTGAAAGGAGGAAAGGTTGACTTTGGCTCACAGTTTGTAGAGGTTTCAGTTCACAGTTGGCTGGCTCCAGGGCAGGGCGGCAGGACGGGGCCGTGCGCAGGTTACACAGTCCACGGCACAGCAGGGCAGGCTGCAGGCAGCAAGCCTGTGACAAGGGCACCCACTAGTCCTCCTTCTCTCTCTTATACTTAATCTGGGCTGCCTGCCCTCAAGGCAAGTAGCACTCACACCCTTAATTTTAGCCTCACTTGCTTGATGTTTCATCACACACCCTAGATCCAGCCACCTCCAAAAGCCACACCTACGACTGCTGGAGGCTTTGTGGAGTTTCATAGACAGAACTACAGGGCTCTTGGTAAATTGCTAAGATGACCAGACTAGGCTTGAAATTGTGATACTCTTGCTCTGGTTTTCCAGGGTGGAAGGATTTTTTGACAAGTTAAAAATCTTGCCTTAAAAAATTGGAACAGCACAGATTCTCATTTAGCCAGGTTAAATTTGAGAGGAAAAAAAAACAAACCAAAAACAAAGAGGATGGATTTTATCTAATATGCATTAAAACATTCTGTGATACAGTGGTAAATAAAACCAATGTGGTAATGATATAATCACAAATAGGTCACCTTAAGGAGGTCAGAACCATGGAAATACTAATGTATGATGAATGGCACCACTAATCGACAGGGACGTGATAATTTCTTGGGTAGCATTATAGAAAAATATCGGTTACCACTTAGAGAAAAACAGTAAGCTAGACATTACTTATACATCATATATAAGAATAAGTTCCAGGAGATTAGAGATCTAACTGTGATTTTTCTGGACAGAGTAATGAACTATAAAAAGAAACTGAAGCATATGTACAATATTTCTGTAATCTTGAAAAAGCAGATTTTTAAAAAATGAAACTTCAAAAATATCCCTGAGCCTGTAATCCCAGTGCTTGAGAGGATGAAAACAGGAGGATCACTATGAGTCCCATCTGTGTAATGAGACCCTGTGGACCCTGTACTAAATACACAAAAAGCAAATATTGCTGAGACCAACATATCTATCAATGGAAAAGGAGAACTCAAAGAACTTAAGGAGAGGCACATTACAGAGAATATTACCTAGATCAGGGCAGCTCAAAGATTTTTATTTCATGGTAAAAAAAAAAATCATAATGAGACAGTGGTCTAGTAAATGGCATGTCATTATCTTACCTACCTGAAGTATTTTGTCTGCCTCTGCTTTTA